TTGGTTGATAAACAGGAAAGAGATTTTTCATTATGTGCTACATTCTCGACTGCATATCAGAAACAAATACTTAGCAGTTTCACTACCGAAGATTAAAACAATACTTTTCGGCATGATGTCATTAGTTTCACTCGCGATGCAGTCTCTACGAAAGGTAGACTGATCTATTTTCTTTTGAATCCTCGAATGGTATTATAAACCTTAAGTTCGATTTTAAATTAATTTTGACAGATAATCAGTTTTGTTACGGTTATAGAATCAAGAGTTTCAATGAGCCGCAGAAGACAACCAATCGACATCGAATCATGTCTGATTTAATACTGCCTTTTCTTTTAGCGATTTGTTTACGTTTCCTGGCTCTGGAGCCCGATTTCAACATTCTCTGCCTAATATTCTCTGTCTCGACTTGCAGTGTGTCCACGTACGTCCAAGGCATGCGAATGCAGCTTGTCAGTGCAGATGTCAATTACAGCTTGATCAGTGCCAGGAGAAAAAGGAAGAAAAGTTTCAAATAAAGTAAAATAGTTTACAACGTACAATGTACACCTTCACAATGTTATTATGTTCAATACTATTACAGTGTGCCGATAATGTATCGCACACCTCTGGCAAACCATTAACAAAAGAATTGATGTACAGCAGTCACTGTTCAATAATACACCACAAGCCCTGTCTATTTCATACTGAGGAAAAGTTGTTTAAGGAATCTTCGAAAGAGCTATTATTTGTGTGGGCAGGAAAATGAATTAAGATGTTTATTGTTGTCTATCCCCCATTTTACTTTCCCGTATAGTGCGTATATACAGTGTAATATAGGTACTATAAGGAAAGTTATGTAATGCTGCAGAAAATCGATTCCGAGATTTCGACGGAAATACATGTTTTGAGATCCCCTACACCGAAAAACTGATTTTAAACGACCGCCCGCCCGCCGTCAAAACTACTAGCACCTAAACCATGCGTAGGATTTTTTACAAATTGATGAAACCCGTGTCAATCTGGCTCGAGTCGAGTCTTTGAGTTTTTAAACAAAAAATCTTTAAAATTTGGATGTACTTTACATGAAGCTTCCCGGACCTTTTCAAAATTTTCTCAAAAACGGCTCCAATTTTTTTCTTTAAATTTCTTGCAAGAATAGAGTAAAATACACTCGTAAAGATGGTATAGATCCGATTTTCAGGTTTAACAATGAATTTTCCACGATTTCAAAATTTTCCGGGCGTTTTCCTACAACTTCAAAATTGAAGATAAGAGATTTTTCCTTCAAATAAAATTTGTTCTCCGCAATGGGTTCTTTTATTTAGACCATATACATTTTTTTGAAAATGTTAGTAGTTTTCGCACAATAATGCCAGCAATTTGTGAAATTTTAAAAGATTACAAAGACAGTATTTTCTCAAAAAATGGCTTCAAATTTGTTATTTAAACTTTTGGCAGGAATAGTGCTAACTGGCATATCGACACAAATGCCATATTGCTATATCCTTTGGTTTTTTCAAAAATTACAAGATTGTAATTTTTTGACTTGTCTGTCATGTTAATATTTATACTAGCGTCAATTTGTTCACATATTTATAAGTACACGTGCTTTAAATAATGTCATATAAAGTTTCTCGAAAGCTCTACCGTTTAAAGTGAAAACTAACTCAAAACTCTGCGTTTTCGGAAACGCTCAAACGCCATTTTCTCAAAAAACGGCACCAAATTTTATTTCTAAATATTTCGAACAGATAGTGCTAACTGTACTGTTTATTATGACGTAAAGTTTTGTTTGTTTGTGTTTTTTTTTCTTTATAAAAATTACAGAAATGTATTTTTTTAAGGTATCTCACGCCGTTGATATCCACATTTACAGCAATTAGTAACACTATTGTATTTGTGAGTTAATAGGCTTAAAATGACTTCAAATGAAGTTTTTCGAAAACTCAAAACTTTTCGGTGAAAAAGAACTTCAAATGTCGAAATTAGTGTCGCTTAAACGCTATTTTTGTAAAAACGGCTCCAAATTTTTCAAAGAAAATTGACATGTATAACGAGCTTTTACTGTTATTTAGTAAATTTAAAATAATCTTTACACATTACAGTTAGAAAACCGAAATATTAAGAAAGTGTCAACAAAATGTACTTTGGGAGGCGATAGATAGTAACAGGCAAGAATATGTGGCAAGTTCAATTAGCTAAGAGACCAAAGGAAATAGAAAACTAATACGGGAAAGTCTATGCCATTCTGTAGCACCACTAGTTGTTTCTTACGGATTTTCATATCACTTTTTGATGGAACCTGTTGTTTAAGCAATTTTAAGAGAGGCGTTTTCTTATAGAAGGTGAAATACAATTAAGGCATTTATCGTATCTTCGATCATTTCTTCGTGCTATGTACAATTGAACATGTTTTAGACATCGATGTATTGAAGCCGACGTTTTTTTAAGCGTGTATGTTTTGTTTGTGGATGAAAAATTCCCATAATCACAATTTTGTAAAAGTTAAAATATGAATTAATCTGATCTCAATATTATCAATAAGTGATATTGTACTCTAAGTAGTGTGTCCAAACTTGGATTCTTGGTTTCTCCTTCTCTGTCTTGCCAGAAAAGTAAGCAATTAACTTTTCCTCATATAGAATGAACTTTTTTCACACTAATCCTTAAAAATTAAATACTCATGCTTGCTACTGCTCATATTTTTTCTTGATTTTGTTGGGTAACTTTATGCACTCTTGTGAAAAGTATATAGTGTGTGTATTTTAATGTTTTTCCTTATTGAGAACAGTGTCGCCACTTACAGGAGAGAAAAAATGTGAATACTAAATGAAGGCATAGGACAAAATTTTACATTAAATCTAACTTTTGTTTTATTCCAGTATTATGAAAGAGCCTTTTCTATTGCAAGAAATCGTTCATAATCGGGCGTTTTACGGCGCAAATGATGACGAATTAGATTTTATGTCAGGAATGATTGCGTCATCACACATTCAGCCACTCGTAACGAGAGAATCGGGGGGAGGTAGAGCTAAACGGAACAGCCGACCACCGTTTATTCGCACGATGTCAAATACCCGAGTCATCACAGGGAAGTTGTTGCGCAAAATGAAGTTTGATTCTTCTAAATGTATAATGCTGTTATACAAAAAAATACAGTTTGCAACTCGTTTATAATGTTGCTTTATTTCATTCGAACAAGTTTGAAAGCTCGCTCCTCAAGTCGCCCGATTTCAAAACATGTACTAGTACAATAAAGCTTAACGTAAACTAATTGCGTAAACTGCTATTACGACGTGGATAAAACTTTTTACGATATTTTTGTCGTAACGTCTGATTACAATACTCTATTGGTTACCAAACTCGGCCTAACGCCTTCGTTTGGCGACTTTCCAATCTCGTATTGTAATCAGATGCTTTACGACATTTATATCATAAATAACTAATACTTTCCGTCTTCGTGATCTATTAATCTCTACCAAAATTTGCAAGGACACTGCGACAATCCTGAAGAAGAGCCTGTGAACATTTCTCATGTATTCATACACTACTATTTTCTCCTCTCTCCTCTCCTCTCCTCTTTGCTCTCCTCTCCTCTCCTCTTTGCTCTCCTCTCCTCTCTCCTCTTCTCTCTCCTCTCCTCTCTCTCCCTCTTCTCTCTCTCTCTCTCCTCTCCTCTCCTCTCCTCTCTCCTCTCTTCGCTCTCTCTCCTCTCTCTCTCCTCTCTCTCTCTCTCTCTCCTCCTCTCTCTCCCTCTCTCTCTTCCTCCTCTCTCTCTCTCTCTCTCTCCCTCTCTCTCTCTCTCTCTCTCTCTCTCCTCTCTCTCTCTCTCTCCTCTCTCTCTCTCTATCTCTCTCTCTCTCTCTCTCTCTCTCTCTCTCTCCTTCTCTCTCTTCGCTCTCCTCTCTCTCTCTCTCCTCTCTCTCCTCTCTCTCTCTCCTCTCTCAACACACACACACACACACACACATACAGTTTTTCGGTTTCCTAATGGTAGGACAGAAACATTATTTTAAGAATATTAAGAAATAGTAACACCTCTCCCTAAGTGGCAATTTTATTTGATAAATTTTAAGAGAAAAATGTTTGAGATTTCGAAAAACTTCTTTTGAAGCCCTTTAACTCACAAATTCTATAGTGTATACAAATTGCTGGAAATGTGCATATTAACGGCATGAGAGATCTTTCAAAAAACATTCATTTGTGTAATTTTTGAAGAAGAAAGAAAGAAAAATGAACTTGACATATTAAAGAGTGCAAGCAAAATCCAGCAAGAAGAATGCTTTAGCTTGAAAGACGCTCCAGGCTTGCTATCATCGTGTTTTGTGATATCCTTATTTTATTTAAAGAGAGCTTATATAAAGAAAAGAAGAAAAAAATACATGTACTATTGAGCAACAAAACAGCACGAAATTCTCATGTAATCATTTTTTATTTATCTCTGTAATTTGTGGGTTTTCTTGTCATTGTGGTGCTAACTTGGTGTCAAGGTAGCCGAATGTTTAACAACAGGATCGAAAGGAGAGTGACAAATTTTATTTTTGCATAACAGATTAGGAACAAAAAACAACATGAGTTTAATTTCAATATTTTTTTAAAACTTTGCTATGCAAATTTTACAGACCTCTCCATAAAAGTGACATTGTATCAGTGCGTTGCCAGACTTGCTACAAGACACCAGACTGTGCTCGATGGGAGCCCTTTTATTTCAAAATAATTTTAAATATTGATATTGATGCAATGTCTTGATGTTTGAGTGATATTAAATCAAGAAGATCTATTTCTAATTATGAAGAATATTATACGATTATTTGGGCGTTGTGCAACCTAAGCACAAGCTGCCACAGCTTCTTTGTAATATAAAAATCGTTGTCTGACCTACTCGTATATATGGGGAAACCTTGTTTGATGTGTTTTGAAATGGATTTAAAAAAAATTATTTCTATTAAAATTCTTTTTGTTATGAACACCTGTTTTTTGATATTTGCTTTACTTCCATTCTTCTATTTCTCCTGTTTTAGAAAAGTGAAATCAGCTTTTCAACTAAACAAACATGTGGCTTAATACACAAAAAAGGAGAGGAGCGGCCAAATTCTGTTGCAGCAATGATCTCAGAACGCGAGGTAAGTTATTAATTAATAGACTTAAGTCTTATTTTGAGAGATTAGTATGTATGTAATTATTTTTCTAGCGTGGAATGTTTGGGAGGCCAGGTTTTTCCTTTGGGGATCGTTGCCGTATAACAGGAAGCTACCTCCCTAATTCAATGAAAGTAGCTGCCACTTACCAGAGCAAAGCTTTCTGTGGCACTTACTCAAGGGATGGAAATCATTTCCTGAGTGCTTGTCAAGGTAAGTATTTGAGCCATCATATCCCTTGTATATTTGATTGAATTACAAGAGAGCAAGTACCTACTTAATTATTTTTTAGATCGAAATCTGCGACTCTATCACACTAATGATGGAAAGTTTAGACTTGGCAAAACTATACGTGCTCGTGATGTCGGATGGAGCATTTTGGATACAGCGTTCAGTCCTGATGGAACCCATCTCGTGTATTCAAGTTGGTCAGAATGTTGTAAGTATTAAGTGTTATTATGTACCAGTTGATGTTGCCTGCGCTGTTCAGGTGTTTATTAATCACAATCTTCTCTTAGTCAGGAAAAGGAGTTCATTCTTCATATAATGTATGCCCCCCCAGCACCCTCTCCTCCGCAACTCTCCCTGGCCTGCTCTGCGCCCTCCATTCTCTGTTCTGATTAATCTCACTCTGATCCACCCAACCCATCCAGCTCCCCTGTTTCTCATCCTGCCCCGTGACGTGACATGACTGGACTGATCTTCTGGTTTGCTTTTATCTCTTTTTTGTTAATGTAAAATGCATGAGCAAGAATTTCTCAAAAATTACTTAGATGTTTTCTTTCTTTGTTTTGCTCAGATAATGTTCTTTTAATAATGTGACTTGGCTTCTATTTTCATCAAAACCTCCAAAATTTTGAAAATTATAAAAGTTCAAAATTAAAAAGTATTCTTTGACATTAGATGTTAAAAACAGTTCATGGACAGCGTTGTGAAATTATTAGTAGATTTTAAGTAAAATATGGGTTGAAATGTGACGAATCAAAAGAATATTACGAACACCATTATAACCCAACAAATAATGAGGTAATATATGATGGCTTAATGGCTACCTGCAGCTTTCTCGCTTGCAGTGCTTGGCTGTGAAGCTCAGCCAATGTAAATATTGTGGTTTATTTCTTTTTCTTAAACTCATTTTTAAGAATAGAGCACTCGATTGACTTGTAGAAAAGCATTGAAAAGATATTGATTTTAGCTTCTGCTCTTCATTTGGGCAGGTGTTTCAAGTGATGGCTCAAGTGGTAGTGAATTAGAAGCAGCACTATTATAGTATTACATAACAGTATCAAAAAATTTGAGGAGTTTGCTGTTGTGGCCCCACTAGTTTTTGAAGGGCAATATTATTTTCTAAAAAAGTATATTTTTTGTATTTGAATTCTGTTTTTTTGCAATTTGTTTATTTTGTTTCATCTCAAATTTCATGCTATTTGCCCATTCTCACCATGATTGACTGTCACTTGTAACAGGAAATAGTAGTTTTGTAATTAATTTCAAAAGTAATTCTTCATTATCAGTAGTTGTTGACTTGTGTGCGAGTGTCATATCCTCATATTTTGACATTCTTTATGCAAGAGCTTTATCTATATTAATTATTAGCAATTCTTAAGTATTGTCAGAGCTGCAGTGTTCATCTCGTCACTCTACTGTTTCTCATTGTTTCAATTTCTTCACCTTTTCTTTAGAGGGTGATTTTCTCAAGGTTATCAAGTAACTATAAAATATATGTTAATAATGGATTGGTTTTATTGAAGGGTTTTTCGTCTTTCAAATATTTCCTTATTGAAGTTGATTTTGTAGCAAATAAAAAAAAAAATTAATTCGATTTTTCCATTTCAAATTTTTTGACTTGAAATTTTTGGTACCTTGTGGCAGGCTCTTTCAGATTGTGTAGCAATTTGGTTTTGAATTGTTGGTTAAAGCAGTGGTATTTTCAGGGATTTTCTTACAGTGAAACTGAAACATTCAGGGTTGTGGAAGTATAACTTTCCTATAACACCTTCCCTACCACATAAATGTCTTCAAATATGGAAGTGGTAGGTTCATTGATCTGCCTTTTGAAACTTTCACTGCCCAGAATCGTTGTTTTTAATCAATATCAAGGAGATTCATCATCATTTACTCTAGCTGCCACTATTCAACTTTCCTTTGTACTTATTCAGCATTGTAAAAATATGATAGTTTTGACAAGCAAGTACAGTGTATATTGTTCCATTGTCTGTGTCTCAACCATGAATTTTTCCCACGAGATTTTTGACACTGTTTCTTGTAAACCATCTAATCAATGGCACAAAATGGTAAAAGTATGTGAATAGTGCCATTGATGAACTAGAAAGAATTCTTCCTGCTATCTTTTCAGTCTTCTAATTCTGTTTATTGAACAATCTTTTTTGTTTTACAGTACATCTCTGTCGACTATATGGTGACAGTGATAACCAAGACGCACTGCCCCTGTGCCCACGTGAGCGGCGTTTTTGTGTCTTCTCACTAGTATTTTCTTCCGATGGAAGGGAAATTCTGGGAGGAGCCAATGATGGGTTCCTGTACGTGTATGATCGAGAATGCAATCAACGTGCTTTGAGGGTGAGATAAACTGCAGTACCATATGATTTCTTAATTGTAAGTGTTTACTGAGAGTACCCGTGAGTAAGGACTTCCTGAAAGCAAACTAAGTGTATATTAGTGAAGTACATTTGAAGATGAATAAAAAAATATAACCAAAACGTGTGCGGTATCTTCCCTGGAAATTGCAGTAATAAGAAAAAAGAAGATAATAATGTTATTATTTTTAATGATAATGATAAATGGGGAAAAGAGAGATGAAAATAAAAATAATAATGCAAATGTTGATTTCTTAAGTCATATAATGTACTAATACTAACAGAATTTGGAATTTTGTATGAATAGAAGTGACAAAATTGAGGATGAATATCTTCAAAATTGTTTAAATGGACTGGTCTGACAAATTCCGATGAAAAAATTCAGATTGTCTAAATCAAGAGAATAGTGATTTTTGTACTGTTACTCAGTGATTCTGAGCAAATGCTGAGATTGTTCCTTTGCTTCGAGCTAGTATATGTATCTTCACTCCTTTGGAAATATTTAATGCTTCTTAAAATGCCCATTGATATTATGATGATTGTGGTGATAATTAGGGGGACTAAAACATTGCTAAAAATTGTTAATAAAATGCTTTAAAAAATGCCTTAAAAAGAAAGATAATGACATTAAAAAAAATTGATCAAAACCACTTCAGAAGAACAACTCAAACTGTTGGTTATGTTACTGATGTAATCAAGGCTTTTTACTTTTGTTTAACTGAACTCAGCCTGCAAACATTTGGTTTGTACTGTTCTTTAAAAGAAAATCTCTGCCCTAATATATCTTGAAATTGGCCAAACCGATAATGATGCCGATAGGCGTCACAGAAACCGTAGATTACATAGTACTTACAACGGCTGACGTTACACAATATGTGAGCAAGGAAATGAAATAGACTACTCAGGAGTTCTGTAGTGAACATTTAATGCACCTTGTAAACTTGGTTTGATGTTCCTTTAAAATTATATTAAAATTGATGAAATCAGCAAAAATTGCATTGAAAATGACTTAAAAAGATAAAATAATCAACAAATAATGTTAAAAGAATGTCTCATAAAAACGGGTCATTTCGGTCCTGAAAATGTAAATCGTGAAATAGTGAAAATCATGCCTATGCCACCTTTATAAGTGTATTTTATCCTATTCTTACAAAAAATGTAAAGAAAAAATATTTAGTTATTTTTGAGAAAATTTTGAAAATGTTCTGGGGCTACATGTAAAGTACCCTCACATTTGAAAGAATGTTTTTCAAAATCTGAAAGCTTTGACTCGAGTCAGGTGGACAGGGGTTTCTCCAATTTGGAAAAAATCCTATACATGGTCTAGTGGTGTTCACAGACAGACGAATGTTTAGAAGAAGAAAAAAATCCCTTTTTTGATATCAGGAAACCCCAAACTTGTACTTCTGTTGAAATCGCGAAATCAATTTACTGGAGCATTACATAACTTTCTCTTTACTACATATATTCCTCTGTATATTACTCCGCTAGTCAGAAATAGCTAATGGAATTATTAGTCATCTTAGATTGAAAAGGCTGAAAGGAAATAATAGAAGAATGAAATGTGTATTTACAGAAATATTGATTTAAGATTGTTTTGTGGAGGAGGCAAATATCAAATTAGAATCATAATTGCATGAAGCTTACTGACAATTTGCAATATAATTTTCTCCTATAAGTAATGACATAATTAAAGTAAAATAGAGTGAGGTTGTTTCTTTTTGCCATGTAATAAATATTATTTACCAAATTATGATATCAAGAATATTCATACCTACAACAATAAAAATAAACATTTTTGTTACAGATTGATGGACATGATGATGATGTAAATACTGTAGCATTTGCAGACAACACCTCACAAATTTTGTACAGTGGTGGTGATGATGGCCTCTGTAAGGTATTGTCTTACCAATTTATTATAATTTCTGTACTGCATTACAAATCTTTGATTGGACCTTATGTAGGTTGAAATCTGGATTTAATTTATGTTTCAGGTATGGGATCGACGAACTCTTTCAGAATCTCACCCCAAACCTGTTGGAATTCTAGCTGGCCACATGGACGGAATTACCTTCATTGATCCTCGTGGAGATGGTCGTCACCTTATCTCAAATTGCAAGGATCAGAGTATTAAACTCTGGGATGTACGTGTCTTTTCTGGTCACACTGCTCAGAATAACACTCGTCGTGCTGTTGCTGATCAAAACTGGGACTATCGTTGGCAGAAAGTACCTAAAAAACGTAAGTTGAAGCAACTTTAATTTGTCTTCTACTTCTTCTTCTGCTTCATGGAGTTAGGCCTTAAGGCCTGTTTCCACATCAAGAGAGTGAGTCTTTCCATCGTGTTAGTGGGCGGCCAACATTTCTTCTTCTTTTAGGATTGTACTGATATATATAATTATGGGGATTCTATTTGGAGGCATGCATTGAATATGGTCATGCCAGTTTCTCCTTAATGATTGGATTCTGTCCATCAGATTAAATATATTCAGTTCAGTTCTGATGTCATCATTATATTGTCTATCTAAAATATTGTAACCTGCTACTGAACATAGGAATTTCATTTCAGCACTTTCTATTTTCCTTCTGTCAGCTCTATTTATAGTCCAGTTTTCGCATGCATAAATTAGCGTAGGTACTTCCATTACTTTGTAAAACTGGCGTTGTGTGGTTTTTAAAGTCTTATTTTTTAATGTTCTTCTTATTGTCCCATACATATTATAGAATCTATTTAATTTCTGGCTTATGTCATTTTTCTGACAGTAAGACACATTGCAGCCTAAGTAGGTGAAATTATTTTTCTGTTCTATCGGTTCATTATTAATTATAATTTTACATCTTATGTGGTTTGTTCCTTCAAAGCCCATTGATTTTGTTTTCCTAGTGGAGATTTTCATATTGTATTTGGATGCCTGTTCGTTTAGTTTGTGTGCTGCAATTTGTAGTTAGTCTTCTGAGCTACTAAAAATTACTTGGTCGTCTGCAAACAATATAGTGTTCAGAGATTTCTCATTTATTTTAAAATGTGTTTTCAACTGCCCTTGCCATTGCCGGACAATCTCGTCTATATATATACACTGCATAGTGCTGGCGAAAGTGGACACCCTTGTTTGACTCCTTGATTTATTCCCATAAATTTATTACTTCTTTGAGATCCTTTATGAATGCATATTTTAGTGTTTAAGTAGAGACTTTGTATTACTCCTATTAGATGTGCTGGAAATCCTTTTTTATGCATTATTTCTTAGAGTTTCTTTCGGGAAACTTTGTCGAAAGCTTTTTCATAATCTATAAATAGTAGATACGTCGGTAAGTTAAAACTTTGATTTGTGAAAGCTGTAAAATGTGTATATCTTACCAAATGTGACAATGTTTTTGGCAAGATGTCAATACAGGAGTATCTGCATTTCACTTATACATTAACATTAACATTATACATTGTGTGTATTCTAGTATCTTAATTTCATTTCACTTAATTTTAATATTAGGAAGGGACTAGTAGGGATTTAATCCAATTATAAAGTCTAATGAAATAAAACTGTTGTTATTAATACAATCACAGTATGTAGGTCTACAGTTGTTGCATCATGTTTTGAAAAGTCAATAATCGCAATAAGGTCTACTGGCACCCTTAAATAACAAAAGAAACAATAATTACCACCTCTGAGGATGTGGTAAAGAAAATGTTAAAATTTTTCATATTGGTCTTTGATTAATTTCTATGGTCTTCTATCATCATGCAAGTTATTGGCTGAAATTTTGACAATTAAAGTCAAATAGTCCATGTAATGAGATGTAACCAATATTTTTATCATAAATCTGTTAGTAAAGACACATTTCATTACCACATTTGTATTCTAATCCTAACATCACTTCACAACTCATAAAATGTGCACAGCAAAGTTGTAAACTATTACAGATTACCCATAATGATTACTCTCAGGCAATTAGGCTTAAAGATACAACTATTATAGTGTAGCATTCCTTTAATTTTAAGCTAGTTTTTATTGTGATGAACCTACTCTAGCCTTATTCAAATGTGACTGCAAAATGGAAAGCAAGATCACAAGTAAAACTAAAAGGTATCCCCAAGCAAAATACAGTAATATTAATGAGCTGCAGCAATAGGAATGCTGCTGTAGTATGTGTATGTGTGGAAAATAGGATCATGGAGCAGCAAAAATTGGCTGTTCTGAAATGGCACACCTTAATAATGAGTCTTTATTCCTCTCTGCATAATATCAGAAGCAGTGATGCACTGAGTATGAAAATGTAGTTCGAACACCAGGTATGAGAAATTGCGGAAAGCATTTGTTTGGGAAACTGGAAGTGTCCGTTGTTACGTAAAAGGGGTCAACACTGTAGTTCAGGTGGCATAGAACCATACATTAATTTGAAAGCTTTTAAAATTCTGTCTAATAACATTTATTTGGAGAGCTGTATGTAAAGCAACACTAGTGGTGTCCCTGGGTGCCTAAACTCTGGATGCTTCCTGGTTTCTCTGGGTGCATAAACACTCTTGACGTAAAGCCACTGTCCTAAATCCTGTCCCAGCATTGCCATTGAAAACATTTTCAATTTTCATGTTTTTACTTCAAATCTGTTGGCAGAAAACAAAATATTTCAAAATATTTTTACTGGACTTTCTTTGTTAGTATATATAATGAGATTTGTTAATAGTTGGTTTTGACTTAAGTCATCTTACAAATTTAACAACATTTATATGGTGACAGTACATCCAACAGCATTAAAAGGTGCTTTTAAATATTTTTGAAAATATTTTCCTGAACCAAAATTTTCATTTCAAACATTTTGATGCATAAAATCATAAAAAATGTCAATTGAATAATTTTTTTTTATTTTCATAGAAAATTTCAAAACTATTCAGTGAGAATAAGACTGTCCTCCTTGTTATTTTGGAATTGGTTTGAAGGTCATATAATAAACTTTTTATTTAAAATCAAACAATCTTTATACCTTTATATGATTGTGCCTAAAAAAAAAGGACCTTCAAACGAATTCTTGAATTATTTTTTTTAGATAGCTGATTTTTTAGATAGCTTTTTTAGATCTGCTGAGGATTTTGTGTTGGAAAGAGGGTGATAAATTTTTATTTTAGATCAGAACCATTGTTCAAATCATTTTACTTCTTTATGCTTTGAGGCACTTTTCACAAATTTTATGTGATTGTGTAGATGTTTTAAAGCAGAGAAATCAAGAAACCGCGTATCAGAGAGACCAGAAGAAAAAAACAGATACTGGTAACCAGCGTGCACCCTGAAATGGACATTCATACCAGTATTGATAGAAAATCCCTAAATACCTGTCATATTGGTGGACTAATATGGTGTATTTTTGTTTTAAATTTTTGAGTTGTGTTATAAATGTATAATTTTGCTGCATCCTCCTTCCTGGATGGTGAAATAAACAGTGAAGTATTTGGATTGACAGCAGATACCACATGCAGTAATATTACGTCAATCCCTCATTTTATGTCCCAAATCACTAAATGATCTTAAATATTGATTGAGTGTTAAGTTACAAAATTACATTAATTTAGATTTAATGATAGAGAATTGATAATGTAAGTAGTGTTCTACAAGTAGAAGTAGTAAGGCTACATGCAGGATTGAGTTAAGGCAAAAGGTAAAGAGCTTTAAACTCCGGGGCAAAAGAATTGGCAAGTAAACTGAAGACTGCTTATGAAGAGCAGTCCGAATAAATCTTTAAAATGCTCCTTGGAAATTGTTCGGGGAACGTCTAGAACTGATTTGTATTCCTGGCCAGTACAAATTAATACTTTTCTAGGAGGAGTAATTCCTGGAATTCCCTTTGTCTTCCTGGTTGTATTAATTTTTAGTTCATTGGTCTAAATCAGTGTTGTTGTTTATTGCGGTCTGCGGCTGCCTTTTATTGTGGTCAGCGAAAAGTTATTAGAGAAAGTGAAAGTATGTTGCATCCATTTGGGCAAGAACATTGTGCCCCTAGCAAATGTGTCCTGCTGGGGTCAACACCCACTTAATGTAAAAATAGGTGAAGTTCATATTTAAGGATCTTTAGTAAATTCAGAAATAAAAATAATTAAATTTGATTCACTATATTATGAATGGTACCAACATGATATCACACTGCAAATATGGCCCGAAACAATATTAAAGGTTTTAGTTGTGACCTTTGAGGCCTTGCAAGTTTGACACCCCTGATCTAGTTCAAGGTTGTCCAACTAGAAGCCCAGTGGGTCATTTATTGTTGCCCACAAAAAGTTATTAGTCAAATGTGAAAGTCCCTTTCATCTATGTCAGGCAAGAACATTGTACACCTGGCACACGTGCCCAGGGCAATCCCCCTTTAATGTAAAGATAGATTGTTGAGATTTAAGAATTGTTTGTAGTAAATTGAGAAATTGAAAATCTTGGCTATGTGTTTCACTGCATTATGCACTGTACTGCTTGGTATCGCACGTGGTTTCATTCCGCCGTTTCAGAGCAGCTGAGCAAACTGCCATGATCAACTGTACAGGGAAGTCAGGTGCGGATCACCCGAGTAATGCAAATAGGGTCCACAACCATATTAAAGGCATTAGTTGTGGCCTTTGAGGCCCTGCAAGGTGGGCACCCCTTGTCTAAATTGTGCAACCAGAATCATGCCAGCCCTTTGTTTTCAAGTTAACAAGTTTGATTTTTGGTGCAAACTGATAGATTTTTTTGTGTGTGAAAATCAATAGTATGTATAACATGATTATTCAACATGTAGAATAACTCTTAGAATCCATTCCCTCTGCAGAATAATCATCCAAAAAGTGTTCTCGTATCCAGTAGCAGCTAGGCCAAATTTTAAAATTTGGGTAAGTGGCTAAAGAAATCCTTCCTATTGAGTGCTACTTATGACTACAACTAAATCCGGTTGCTGATAAATATGGTAAATAAATAAAATTGTCAAAATATTTTGGAATAGATTCTTTAAGTAATGTTAATTTATTTCCCCTCTTACAATTTAGTGGGCTTCTGTAGTAATTTTCTAGAGTATAAGTTTTGTAACTAGATTTTTAAATGAGCACTAACTGGTGTGGTTTGATACAATTTGCAGGAAGCTGTAAATATTTGTTTTAAAAGTGGAGCTTTTTTAATGTCTACATTGACCTATATATACAATGAGGTTTTTGTTTTCATTTGCTTCTTCTTTGATTCAGTTGCAAATCCAAAGAAACCTTTGGATGGAGATACCTCTGTGATGACATACCGAGGGCATTCAGTTCTTCAAACTCTTGTTCGTTGTCATTTTTCTCCTGCCTTTACTACTGGTCAGAGGTATATCTATACTGGATGTGCTGCAGGGCGTATTGTCAGTAAGTTTTTCACCTGTTCACATCATTATTTTTTTCAAACAATAAATATTCTATAGTTGGAAAATAAAAAATGAAATCATGTTATTTTGCAGTTTATGATGCTTTAACTGGAAAAATTGCAGCAGATTTGAAGGGCCACAAAGCTTGTGTGCGAGATGTGTCATGGCATCCATATAAGCAAGAACTTGTTAGCACATCAGTAAGTTGTTTTTTTTAATTCTGTGATTTAATGTTTCTTTGAAAACCAATATGATGTAAGTTTTTCAAATTATTAATATTCCTTTACAGTGGGATGGCACTGTTGGCCTCTGGACTTACTCAGGTTTATATAAAATGGAATTGGAAGAAGAAGCAGAAGTACTCAACACTGACGATGCTGGTTCCAAGGTGCTGAGGCGAAGTCAGCGAATAGCTCAATTGAAAGAAAGAATGAGGCAACAAATGAAGCAGAATAGTGGGAACAGCAACTGCTGACCCACATTGCAATCACACTAACAATGAAACGGGATCTTTTAAAGACCTCCCAACCTTTACTCACTGTGCAAGTCTATGTATTAGGCTGGACCTGCAAAGGACTTTAAAATGACTCAGCTAGAACACATATACACTTAATTGTTCATGTTGTGAGTCATAATTGGAGTATATGAATGTTGGAAACTATTTTTAATATACCTACTGTTGTGTGTGAGTCCAGAAAGTATTTTTCATATTCTCATGAGAAGTACTTGTGAATGTTATCTTATTCAGATAAAATTCATTGCAACTGGAGTTGTACAAACAAAAATATTGTGAAAATTAAAGACATTTTTGCAGTATCAGCAAGTTCATGTGCTGAAAAATTGCAGTCCTAACAGTCTTGGGTGTTTCTAATATAACTAATTTGTTGGATGTGTCATTGTATGTACACTATATACAGTATTTTGTATTAAAAATGATATTGTGAAGGCATAGATCTTTAATTTGCAATATTGAATGTAAAGGATATGGGATTGGGTGCATGGAAATATTTTTTGTGCTTTTGTTTGTATGATTTCTGTGCTTTTTGGAATATGTTTCCTACGCATCTTGTTATATGGCAATTTCTCAGATCATCATAGAGAATTCTAATGAGATAATTTTGTGAAGCAAATGTCTTGAATTTTGTGTGTTGCTGCCTGATTTGGTGATATTTGTCTCTATGGTGTTCCTGTTTATAATTACAAGTATATTGCCAACCCAAGAATTGATAAGGGTGATCTCATAAATGTAATGATTTTTGAAGCTGGAAGAGCAAAATGTATTAAAAATCTAATGTTACTAAAGACAAATTCTTACTTGCATATAGAATATGTCTTAAAATTATCTTATGAGCATAAGGTGAAAGATTGTTGAATACAAACATGCTGTACAAAATTTTAGAAAGTGGCAGCTTGATTCTCTTCCTTGTACTATGAACCTAAAATGAAAAGCACACTACCGAAGTTAGTGTCCATGCCAATCACAGTATTAAACTACATTAATAATATATATCTGCTCTATCCTAGAGATGTATATCCTGTTTATTCTTGGGTTTAAGTGACAATTACTAGACTGACATGTTTCCAGTGCTTTAAAACATTAGATTTGCTATTAATTGCAAAGTTAACTTGGTGACGTCATTTTACTTGGTGTAATCAATATTTGGGAAAATTAACTTGGAATTTGGATTTTTAAATTCTTGCAGAGCCTTATACTTAAATCCTTGCTTAATTAACATCTTGATAAACTTTTATATAACTAAGATAACAGGTACAATTTTTTTTATCCTGTGTATGGTAATTGCCAAATTTCTCGATCTTCCCTCATTTAAAATACAAATGAAACTCCTAGATGCTGACAGTGCCAGGAATGACTTGTTAAAAAATTTTTATGCTGTCTGAATTCTGCATTAATATGTTGAATGTTTTTCTGGAATTTCATTTAAATTGTTCATCTTTGTTTAACAAAAATTGTACCTGGTATTTTTGTTGGATACAGCTAAGATTGTATGATGAAACTGTAATGTGTGGCTGTAATGGGTATCTATAATGTAAGTTCCATTGCATTTTATTTTCTTCATTATTACTTAAGATCATTCTATCTATTCACTTGTTAAATGATACTTACAAACAACCACACATGCACACTAGCACTACTATTTAGCTAAGAAATTTGCTTGTCACATGATACCTTCATTTACTTCATAAGGCTGAAAGAAAACCAAATTGGAAATCTACACTTCCTTCAACCTCTTTAGATTAATTTTAAAAAATTAGAAAATTGCTTTTGTGTACATGTTGCATCAAGTTCTTGTGGTGTGAATGAGGAACTTTCTTGTAATATTTTATCATTGGAAGGTTAAGTCATTGAAGAAAAAATAAACTTGTTTATCTAACATTCTGGCTATGAATATCTTATCTGCTTTCATGACAGCCAAAGTTCAAGCATTCCATTAATTTGTAATCTTTGAAAATATTTTGGAATTAATTAGATTTTACAGATAATATTTTTTGTTCATAGATGACTACAACCAATGAATGATTAGCTGGAGAGTTGCATATATTTATGGATGCAGCCTGAGTCTCAAAAGCATTTTTCCAAGAGGAATGGAAGACATCCTTTGCTTTGTTTTATTCCAGTCTGTCATAAAAAATTGCACTCACATTTTGTAGGAGGAGAATTTGTGATAACTTTCCGACTTGTAATATTACTCCCTTTTCATGTTTTGTGGTCTGTGATAGAAAATGTGTAACAAACCATCTTAGAGAAATGAGATATGTATATTAAATGTTTTCACTTTTAGCATTGCACAGTTGTGCATGTACAGTTCTTTCTTTATTGTTTATAATACTTATTTGTAAAGTATAATAATGTTGAGTTACCTTAAATGTGCTTAGTTGGAATGTTGAATATTCAAAAATTATTCTGTAAGACTCATGATACAAATAATGGAGTTCCTTTAAATCTTAATTGACAGATTATGTAACTTATTTATTTCCATTTCTGAATAACAGTTCAAATATATAGTTAGAGTGTTTTGTTAGTTTTTTCCCCTAAAATTTCTTGCGATAAAGGAATTTAATTTGTCCTCTTGCTGTTTACATTTTATAATGCATTCACTATATTGGATTCAGGTTATGTTTCTATTTATAAAATTGCAACCAAATCATCTGGTCTCACAGGAAATAATTCTTATCAAGCCTGTAATGGAATTAAGTGGACTGATTGGGAGTTTCAGAACAAGTTAATTGTTTTTAAACTATTTACATTACAAAACTCTTCTTTCGTCTCTTTGAAGGTAACACAGTCAATATGCTCAGAAAAGATTTGTTCTTAGATTTATTTATATATATCACTTGCTCATTGTGTTAAACTAAAGAGATAAAATGAGAAGTGTTTTATGATTCAGGGTTGAAGTAAAGAATTAATTTTGTTCTTTAAAATGTGTGCAGTTTTGATTAAAATTGTTAAGTAATAAGATTCATACTCTTCTCATTACTTACCTAACTGGTTATGGAGGATTTAAAAACATTGTGTTATAAAGAATTGCATATTTTTTCCTACAAAAGATTTTCATATATTTTATTGATATATTATATAATAAAGAAGACTAACAAAAAGGCGTGCATTTTAGGTTGATATTTGTTATATTCATTTCAATGACTTAGTCTTCAACATGGCATAAGGTGAAAGTGTCTTTGGGTCATCTTCACAATTTACATATTAAGTACATTGCATATTTTGACATCTTAAATTTTATTTGTAATATTTTTGCCTGTATTGTTTTTGTCCTTCGTTTAGAGCTGAGAGGACTAAAAAGACTGTAAGATTGAAAAAATTGAGAAAATTAAGGAATAAATAATTCAATAGTATTGGACTTCATACAAGTCGCACAAGGTTTTTTCTTAGACTGTAAATTGATTGTGCTGTTAGTTGTTATACAATTTTTTTGTTTTAAAATTTCTTTGTATCTATTATATTTAGAGTATGTTTTATGATTTTTTAAACTTCTGTTTGCCTGCAATGGGAAACCTTGAAGTCAACATGAGATATTTAAATAATGTGTGACATTTAAACAAGTGCTTGAATGATGTGTTTGAATTTTTATTTTGGAATGCTTTGTGAACTTGGGAACTCTCAATTCTGAGTGAAAGAAACACTGAATGTTGTTTGTTTCTGAATGAAAGTACAATTATTTTTTTGTGCATTACAAACCGTGTCAATTTTTGTTCATATTGATGTAGTGTTTGAATAGTAAGTATTAAGCAAACATTTTTGATAGCCATTATTCATTGTACATGTTGAACTCAATAAAATTACTTGTATTGTACAGAATCTATGTTGTAGTTTGTGATTGATGAAATTCCTTAAGTAGTACTTGATGTATCCCTCAATTGCCAATATTATTATTGCTGCATTTTTCTGAAACAAACTGAAGTTTGTGTATTTTTCTTTAAATATTTCTTATTACATAAATTGTTAAATTATTCCTTTGCCACGTTCAGATAACTAAAAATTTTCATAAATATGCAAATAAGTGGATCAAAAAATATAATAGATATAAATGGCACTCGAAATAATGGCTAAGTGAAAGTTATAATGCAAATTAATTTATTTCATTTGCTTATGTGAAAAAAATACTCTTAAAAATGTAACAGTTAAAAACTAGATAGTCTATCAACCTTGATCCAATTCCATGTTCACATGTTTACCTCGCAGATCTGATCAACCTTGAGTAAAGGGTGCACCTTGACAGTCGCATCAGGTGTACATGTATCTGACCCTGACATCCTATTGCTTTCACAGTGAAGAGGAAGAGGAAGTTTTCTAATTGAAAAAAGGCATATGAAATATGGTAGGTATTTGATTTGGTTTGCTGGTATCAGTAAAAGAAACAAAATCCCTCTTTTTTTAAATATGAGTAGAACAAAGCATAAGGAGTTTGTAATTGCAAAATGAAGTTACCAATTTCTTCTCTAGATTCCTCTTTTAAAATCAAATTCATCACATAAATTTAATTTCTTGTCTAACTTAAATTCTTGTGGAAGAGTCTGGAGAAAATGAATAGTAAAATTTGAAACACTCCTCATTGCATAAGAGAACCAATATTAATTGTTATGTGGCAAATAATTTATCAAATTTGATAAGCAGCATTTGAATTTAATGGTGAGGTAAAATAAAATATTAGCTTGAAACTAAAAACCCATTTACCAAAGTACTGTAGGTGTACAAATCTTGCATTTAAAAATGCAGTTAGTTTTACAGATAATAAGATACTCTCAGCTTTTGGAAATGGACATTAAATTAAAATAAAAACCCACCCCTACATGGTTTAACATATGAATGCTGGGGTATTGCAGAACTTACATGGCATGACAATTGTATTTTCCCTGTGTTAGTGCTGGGATTAACAAATATGAAGTAGGAAAATCTTGTCCACTAGAATAATGTTCTGTGATGTTCTTTATCTACTTTTGTGATTTCAGTGACCCAGATAAAGAAGCCACACACGGTGCCTACAAGAACTAACAAGCTTGAGGAGATTACAGAGCTGTGAAACCCAGAGCAGTCAAGGACATGAGGGGAGGCAGGAGGAACTGGAGGTAGCTGACCATTCTTACACAGTCTCTCACTCCTGCAACTACGAGTACACACTATGCCTGCCTCTGAAGCTCTGGCTCGACGCAATGCTATTCCGTTTCTGTACACACGTGGGACCCACTATGAAGTGGGATTTGATATTGTAAGTACATTTCTAAGTTTTTGATTTTATATTGTTATTACATTTGGTATTGAAACTCGGTTCTTTTTATGTAACTTATTTCTCTCTGTGAGTGAAACTTATATGTTGTTTTATTTGAAATGAAATATTACCAACGAAAAGTTTAAGTATCAAAAATTTCGCCCTGTAAATAAATTTTATACTTTTGAATTTTTTTTTTTCCTTTTTTCATGAGAACAAATTAATGCTGCCTTTTTATCTTGTTCTCTTTTGATTGTATAAACAATGCTTTAGTTCTAGATTTGGAAGAATTACACTACTATTTTAACAAATATGTGATATCACAAGAGTGTAAACTCATTTAAATTTATTATTATTTTAGTTTTGATTGTGCTAACATTTCTCTCATCAAGAATTTAATTTTACCACACAATTTTACAAATATATTTATATGCTCTTGAGAGTAGAAAAATATTAAAAGTTAAAGTTCGTAGGTGGATTTTATTTTTAGATTACCTGTCAGACAGTTAAGTTACTATTTCATCACTTTTTTTGAATAAGGGTTTTATTTTTAGAATTAACTCAAAGTTATTACTTTTCACTTATCTTAATAATTGTGAGTTGTATTTAAAAATTGCATTAATTTCTTCACTAAGTATTCAAGAACTAAGGAAAAAATCATGGAAAACTTACCGTTTTCTATCTTGACTTGGTGAAATCGGGAATAAAAAATTAAATGTATGCACTGGGTCTTCAATATCTTGGTACACACTTTTCCCTCTCCTCAAATTCAGACGCTTCTGCCTTCTGTGTATGTTTTCACTCACATTTATAATATACATGTAATACAGCAAATATCAGAACTCGATAGACATTTATCATGACATTATCGAAGACATTTATATGAGCCGTGCAGGCTTCGTTTCGTGAACAAATCTTAGTAGTCCCTCGCGTTCATTCAAACAGGTCTTCCGAACGTTTACGTAACAAGCTGTGCATGTCAAAAGTACAGTTCGTGCAGGCAGCACATTGACAGTTCAATCGCGCATCTCTTGCTTTCAGGGAAGGACTTTTAGCGGCATCATACACAGCTTCTTAGCGGCATCAAAAGAGTTAAATAACGTTTTCTTGCCGTTATATAACACGGAAGCTGGCCGTCAAGTGTACAACGAGACTCTGCGGTCAGTTCAGACCAACTTCCCGCAATATGTCCGTGAAATCGAGGGCACCGCAGACGGAGCCGGAGTACCCTTTCACAAGGTATGTATCATATGACAAAGGTGGACCCGAAAAGTTTCGATCGGTGAAAGGGGCCTATTCATGTGTGTGTACTTGCATAGCTCTCAATTAGAATGTGCAGACAAAAAGCAAAGTAACGTGCTCCATGCTTCACGTAGAGAGATGGCTGGGCAAGATAAATGTGTGTGAAGGTTAACAAAGTAGCCTAAAAGAACATGTTAAAGATCTGCATAGCCAGACATAGATCAAGTAGTTATGCCAAGGCTCAGAGGCCGTGAATTTAACCAATTTATACCCTCCCCCCCCCTAATGGGGATGGCAACTTCAACTATTTTTTCTTAGCTCGTATGTATTTAGAGAATTTTATATCAACTTGTTAAACGGTCTATTACATACAAGTAATATTGGGATTTCCTGAAAACAATACCAGACCGGCTGAGGTGGCTCTCACTACACAATGCCTTTCACCGGGAGGTCCCAGAGTTCGACTTCCAATGGTGGCAGGATTTTCCACCCAAGCTAGACAGTTAGGTCGAATTCAGCCGCCGCACGGAGGATCTCACCGAACGGGGAACGAACACCGCCAACTTCCACGATAAAGAACAGTCCCCACACTTATGGGAAAACTGACTGTAGCCGTTGACGCGCTCGGAAACACGAAATAATCTACCTGAAAGCTAGATGCTGGCTTAGCCAAGCATAGTACGTTTCTGGCCAGGACGTACTCTTGGCTTCCGACCGGTCGAACATTCTAAAACTGCGATTCTTGTTATGTACTTGTTAAGTATAAATTACGCTACGCAAACTTGGAGTAATTTGAATATCCAGTCTCCCCCCTGTCACACCTGTAATGCTTGAAGCCCTCGAAATAATTACGTAAATCTGCGAGTAGATCCCGCATTTACAATAAGTAAAAAACAATTATAAAGAAAAAAAAGTTGTTTTAATTGTACTTGTATATTAAAATGTATGACAGTTAAAGTCGGATTTAGGTGGAGATGCGGACTGCACATAACGATAAGATTGGGAACAATTTTTGAATGAAGGAAGGAAGCGTAGGCGAGAAAATTTCTGACCAGCCGTGCAAACGTCCGTCTTGGATGACGCATAGGCCAGTTTAATTGGATTCTAGAATACACTAGAGATCAGATTTGAATTTTATTTTTGTAATCCAGCAGATTCAATCAATGTATTATTGATGAAAAAATATTATAATTTATTGTAACAATTTACACGTCATAACTTTTTAATTTAATATGTTAATGTATCAGACCGAATGAAAGGAATTATTTCAGCAGATGTTGAAAGAATCTTAAAACAAAAACCAGCATTACGCAACAATTAACTGTGAGACCCTTTAGTACTGCGTAATGCTGCTTCAAACCCCTTCTTCTCTTTAGCCTTAGTGTAATTTATGGATGACCCTCCCGTTAACGTCTTGGCAATTCTAATCAAAGTGAAGCAAACGGTGGTTGGTCCGCACCGAAGTTAAGGGGTAAATGTAAATGTTTTACCGGGTATAGAAAACTTGCGTGGCGTTGGCGACATAACAATTTATCGCATCACAATTATTAGTATACCTGTTTCATGCATTTTACCGTGAATGCATAAGTGTGATGGAGGCTAGAAGTAAGGGGCAAGAGGCCAGACCAGTTTTTCCAGAAAGTTTACAATTATTTAAGTGCCAAGGAAAATCGTTTAATGTGTAATAAGTTCAAAAGTGCATAAATACATTCCTTAATATCGAAAGAGTTCACATTGTTGACATTTATCGCACCTTCAATTAATCTCGCAAATGGCCAACTATCAACCACGAAGAAGCCCTCTCCTTTAGATGGACTTGCGCAGGTATGGGGATGTGCGAACGCAAAGTAACATCCTATCGTCACTCATCCACCCTTCACTGTCTTGCCGTTTCACCAGTGACATATTAATCTCACGCGAAACTCATTATAGTCGTTAATTAAACTCATTGATGAGAAATTGGATAATAAAAAAAATTAATTTAGGATATTTTTTATCATTTAAAAAAATATTAACAAAAAATAACCCTTTTTCATATTAAAAATAAGTTAAGGTTAATATTCTTTGGAAAAGCGCTTTTCGAATATAGGAATTCAAGTTTTTTTATATACTTTGAAAACATCCGAATTTCGAAGTAGTGGAGTTTCACACAAACCTCAACATTGCCTCGGGACATTGGAAGTTCTTAGTATTAAGGCGTGGTCTTCTGTAACCTGTGGGAGTTTAAAATAAGTTACGATCAGTTCCAGATCAAAAGAACACAATTTTTAAGTCTTTGTGAAAGTCGTACAATCATAGCAACTTTACTTCTCGTTAGTACGAAGACCTGGTAACTAACGCGCGATAGTGAGCGCGAGATAGTGAATCGTAGTCAATTTTTTCTTTAACTTAAGTTAACCTTTTTTTAAAATTTATGGTCGCTTTACTACAATTCTGAACATGAGCGACCACAGAGATTTAACTTATTTTTCAGTTTTATTTGAAATAAAATATGGCTGTACATGAAGAGATCCGTAATTTGAAATCATTTTACAGTAAATAAAAAGCTCTAATAACAACAAAGTTTTTATATGATTTATTAGACAAGGAAATTATGACTTTTAAATTGATGTTGTAAAAACGTTGAGATGACTTATCAACTTTCAATAAGTTCAATCTAGTTGAATGCAATAATTTCAGAATCTTGACATTTTCTTTACTTGACTTGAATCAAATAGACTAATGTTGATTCCAAGCGTTGATATTTCTGGTGTAACCCGAAAACATTGAAAAAAACATTGAATCTTTTGGATTTGTATGAATGTACCAAATTCGACACTAGAAATTGGACCCCTTTTCGGGAATCAATGAGACTATTATACTATTATACATATTACGTTACGTAAACAATGTTACCATTTCGGCAAAGTGGTAATTTTGTTAAGAGGAGAATATGCCGAAATCTTGAGCACCGATAGATTTGGAAATGATGTAAAGCTAGTGATCAGTCACAGCTTTGTACTTTGCTCTTGAAGCTCTCTCATTATACCATCTTTGGTCAAAGAAGCAAATATGTTCTTACAAAAAAAATCTTGAACATCGTCGGTTGTAAAGACAGACTGGGCTCATTTTCGTAAGCTATTTCTTAGCAAGGAATCTTTTCTGAATCGCTCTGTCGAATGTCTGTCGATACTTCAGATCCCAATCGACCTGAAGTATCAGATGCATACTTAACAGCTTTTGAAAATTCAACATAACTCTTCTTTTAATCTAATAATTCACTTTATTATACTAATTGACATTTGTTTTGAACGTACAAGAATTGGGTGTACAGTTTTCAGAACGAACATATTACATATCAAATGTTGAAGTGTGGAGAATCAGAGGTTTGGATTTCAATGAGGATAAGGTCTCAGAACGCACGAAGGATGCAGTTACGCTTTTTACGACTAGTTCAAATCTTCCTCAAGGATTATATGGGATTTTCCTGTTACTGGTTTTCGATAAGGCTGTGTACATTGTCATTGCTTCCCGATAGTAGGAATGTAATTCCTTTGACCTTCGCTTTTAAAATACAGGAATGGAATGTCGATACGAAAGTGCTTTGGTCAAGTATGAACATTGGTGTAGCAACGAAATAATTTTGTGATTTTTGCTTTCTCGCCCTTACGAAGGCGAATTTTCAGTATAGAAACTCTTATTGCCGGGGCCTGGAAAGGAAAAACTTGATTAATCCTAAATGTAGTCGTAGGCTTCCGCGGCCTGGGTCATGTGCGTGACACACAACAAGATGGTCGAAACGTCGGCAACACAGCCTTCGACGCGGCGTCACCCGGACAGCCAAGATCACGACATTGATTAATCTTGTTGTAAAAGATAGAAACAAATTCCTCTAACACGTGGTGAATTCATGTTTTGTGGATCCTTGATACCGAAAAATCTATTGTCAACACATCTATCCGTGTGTGGTCAACGCTAGCACCCAAACCGTTCAGCCGATTTTTTTCAAAATTGATATTCCCCAATCGATCTGAACAAACTCGAGTCTTGTGGAGTTTCAAACGGTTATTTTGATTTTCGAGGAGACTTTACATGAAGTCTCAAAAACATTTCCAAAATTTTCTTAAAAATTGTACCAAATTTTTTGATCAAACCTTGTCGTTGGATAGCGTAAAGTATATTTAAGAGAGCGGTGCAGATCTTATATTCGTCGAAATTCCATGTTTTTGGAAAATTGCAGAAGTGTTTTGTATATGTGTATGTGTGTGTCTGTGTGTGTTTGCGTGTGTGCGAGAGAAAGGGAGGGTGGGAGTGTGTATGTGTCTTCCTATAAATGTAATATTGAAGAGAGATTTCCTTCATTGATAAAATCTATTCCTTGAAGGCGAACCTTAAAATAAGTTCATGTTAAAAGTTTCGGAAATATTAGTAGTTTTCGTGAAATTTGGCGCAAAATATATGGTATTAAAAATGTTTTAAACAATTTTTTTCAAAAACAAATTTTGTTTATTTAAATATTTTTTACGGCTAGAAGAAGTGATGCTTAAAAGAATGGCGCTCTCTTTGAACTCTCTAAATTTTCGAAATTTGCAAATTTAGAAATAATGCAAGAAAGCATGATCTGTTGTAGTATCACTGGTTTACATTGTTACATAGTTTAATCACTGTATAGAGGAGTTGCCTCATAATACTCGTATGTGCAAATAAAAAAATACATTTTTTGCATTCTTTTCTTACATTCACTTTTATCAGTTTATGTAAGCTTTAAGTGAAAAGGGGATTTTCATGAACTAGAGATATGTGCTATTCTTTAGGAAATTACTCCTTATATGTGACATTTGAATACCCTGAATCTTTTTAAACAAGTCGGTTTTGTAAAGATTGTGAACGGTTAAAAACCAGAACTCATCTGAAAATATCTGGAAATGTTAGGTAAGTTACGACCCTGGAAAAACAGTAATTAGTGTTAAAATTTTTTTCGCGAATCATATTAAACATTTAATTTATTTCATTGCAATTTATTTCATGGTATTTATTCGCTACATTTTCGTTATGGAAGTACATTTTTCTATGTTAATATTAAAAGTTCTTGATTTTTGTAAAATTTACTAGAATTCATGTTCGTAATTAGTTCTTAATTCTTGTTTACGTTGTTGAATGTCAATGTTAAAATGTTCCTAATTTTAGGAAAATTAATTGAAATACATATTCTTAGTTCTTGTTTTTAGTCTTGAACACTGAATAAAGGTTAATATTTCGAAAAAGCGGAGAAATTATCCTGATTAATCAAAATTTCAGTGCTGGAATATCTTAAAAAAACAGAAAATTTTGACATTTCAAACATACAACAGCTCTTTGTGAAAGGTAGAAGGCATAAACGAGCGTGTATTAAATACTAAATTATTAAGGGTTCAGAAACATTTGAGTTGCTTAGGAAACCACGATAAAACAGAAACCAATGTCTTTAGCAACGAACGAGGAATGTCTCTAAGCGAAACCTCGCAGACGTTCGATGACGGTGCGCTGACGCAGGCCTACGCCCACGCAGTTCGCCGCGACAGGCTTCGCCGCGCGAACTAACGAGAGCACAACGTAAGTGCCGTGGTGGCATTCCGTTTGCTGTCGGTTTCTCTAGCCAACCCACGCGATTTGTATGTGATCCGCATTCTTAGATTCGAACCTACTCTGATCTTAAGAGAAGTAGCAATACTGGCAAATGTTCACGCCTCCATTGTATGTACAAAAAAAAAAATCTTAAATTTTGAATTGACCTAAAAAATTTATGGATCCATCTATGAAATCTTCCTAATCGAAAAAAGAATTATCTGTACCATATGGCCTAAGAATACTATTATACTCGAATTGAGAAATTGAATCTGTGAATGATTCTTGTTCTTTGAGATCAAAATTGAAATCATGAGGAAATTACGAAATTCGCAACACTTTCATTGCGTGTTGTGCTATATGTTTCCCATTGAAGCGGATTTAACCGAACCCACGTTTTGCCGTGAAAAGTGGGTTTATTTCAATTTAAGGGTCCTGTTAAAAATATTAAACACTTGAAACAACAATAATAAAACATGACCTGAGATGGTTTATAGTGACCTTAAATAAATAAGTTGAAAATAATAATAAAAGATTAACTGTTGAAATGTGTTTCTGCAACAATTTCCAGAATAATTTTAAAAATTTGTAAAACAAAACATAAATAAAAAATCTTCAGAACCTAAAAATCTGGCGATCGAGTCCGAGTAGGAATAGGCTGGTCGACTGATATTGCATTAACTTCACTAAGGTACTTTTGGCTGTTAAAAGCGAGAGTTTCTAAATATGATTGAAATATCTTGCACGCAAGTCATCCGTGTTTTAAGATCTTTCCTAAACATTCAAACTCAAAATTTACCGTACAAATATTTCCTAACGCTAAAATGTACATAACTAAAAAGAGCACTATTTAAAAAAATAGATTTTCCAAGAATACCTAACCTTATCTCCTTAAAATGTTCGAAATACTTAGCCTTCTGACAGTGAGCAATAAACACAGTTCGACATAATTCTCGAGAAGCGACGGTCCAATAACCAAACTTGGCAGGAGGACGGAGAAAACCTTCAGCCAGTTCTGGTTCTTTAGTGATACGAGACCATCTATGGCATTGCCTAATGTGTTTTAAGTTGATGTTGCATTTAAAGCGAAAGGAGGAGATATTGTGCTGGCGTACGCTAAGCCGAGAGTGAGAACGCAGAAGTATGTACATGTAAAAATGCGTGTTTCGTAAAACCATGTGTGCATTTTTCTAAGGAATTTATTTAGAAATGTCTTTGAGGAGGGAAGGTTAAAGAATAGACCAAATAGAAGCGAAGATAGATCGATTTGTTTCAGGTGAGAGTCTACTAAAGCGAATGTAGGGATGTGTGTGTGTGTGGTGGGGGTTGTGGCCGCCACTGCCCCCTCGTGCGCATGCCTGTGCGTCCAAGCGTTACATGGGATTCGAACCCACAGCTCGCAATCGAAGCAAAGGAGTTCAAAGGTGGTGGTGAATGGTGGTAGGAAAAGCGCCCCATCAGAAAAAAAGTTTCAGACAAAACTTATGTATTTTTGTCCGTAAAATCCGAATCTGAAATAAAAAAAAATGGGGATTTCTATTTACGATTTCCATGTTTCCCACCGCCCCACCCGCTGGGGGTAGGGGGTGCTGATTTTAGCATAGAATGATTCCCTCTTCAAAACTATTAAGATTTGGTCTCGGCTCAATTTTTCGTACATCGCGTATTTTTGAGTTATTTCAAGTTGTCAAGTTAAATGGGACATCTGCATACTTGGCTGTTCGGTAGACGCTTCGTACTCAGCACGGGTGCCAACGTTTCGACCGTCATACTGCGTCCTTCCTCAGGGCAAAATGTTTGTCGGGCAACCAAGTATAAATTGAGTACGGTTGAGGAAGCCTACGCTTCCAGTTCGGATTGTGTTGTGTGAAGTTTTTCTCTGATTCTAGCTTTTCCTGCTGCACTTGGACGACATTTTGCCCAATGTCGTCAAAAGAGGAGGATCGTCCACCAATGCACCTATCGGATGCTCCACGATCGTTTGCAACCGCCCCGGCGAGGTAAGTGCTATCTACAAACATTGGGGAGTTTTTGCTCAGAGTATGATAAATGCACATTACAGACAACCGCGAGTAATACATCCTTTAAAGCACAAAAATCGTCTTATACGATACAATTGACATGAATGGCCCACACATTAAAGACTAACAATTGATCGCTGAAAAATTGTGATGAATACCATATTGATTCCATAGATCAGGCAGTTACAGCGTCTGCCTGGATAACGCGAGACCCATCGCCCATTTCGTGTCAATCCATTTTCAGTATTAAAAGCGTTGTGTGTGCTCCTGACGCTAAACTTTCATTACACCACCTCTTCTTGATTCCCATTTGTTCGACTACAAATACTGCAACCTGGTGTTGCAGCTTGGGAACATAAGTATGCCATTTTTTTTCAAACTTCTAACGAGCAGTTAATCCGCTTCACTAGGAGGTGGATTTGGGGATACGCTATGGTCCATTGCGAATCTTTCACCGTCATCACTAAAACTACCATTTCCGGTTTGAGCGTAGGACCGTGAATATAGCTGGTATGATTGACGATTCCGCCAATTGCAAGCTAGGTAATGTATAATAGCTTTCTTCAAGAGAGAAAGGTAAAGCAGAAATTCACCAAAAAAGAGCCGAGAATACGGTGTAAACTCTCAAACAAAATAAGAACACTGGCCCTGGGGACGTTCTCATTCACGACAACTTCCAACCTCACAGCGAAAACGAGACCCGCGTCATTTTTATATATGGCCGAGTACTATTGTTCGAAAATCGAAGTATTTTTCGCGTAATTATGCGGGAAATATAGGCAATTTAAATTTATTTGTGAAAGAAAGCAAAGTACGCTTATAAAAACGGCACATGTTCCATAAGTAGTGAACTCTGTTTTTTCGAAAAACTTTAACATTGCAAAACTGAAATAATGTGGAATGAGTTTTTTCCTTAATGTGATCTGTCGTAAAAAAAATATATTTTTAAATAAGGATATGAAATGTTTTTGTAAATACGAGTGGTTTTCGCTCAGTTTTTCTTTAAATTAAAGACAATTTACAAAAAAATCTCAAGTACGGTACTATTTTTTTCAGATATGACAAAGAACACTTAAAAGACGTAGATCTTATTATCGTTGAACTCTCTAAAATTGCAAATGTTTCAAATAACGCGATGAAGTATATGCTGTTGTAGCAACATCAATTTTGCCGCTGCATTACAATACTTTATTCTTTATTCATTAGATACTCTATACGAGTACTACGAATTGAGTATACGAGAATGTAAAAACGGAATAAGCTGAGATTTTGTTACTATTAAATAACAAACCCCAAGACATCGAGCCTTCCAATGTGAGTGCGGAAAATGGATGCGTCATTACTCTCATTGGGCACACTTACTTCCTCTAAGTACAGGAAGAAATTCTAAAATAGAATTCACAGAGCTCTGAACACCACCAGAAGAATCGTAGAATTTCTCCAGTACAATATAGGCAACCCATGATATTTCGCCATCTTTTTGAGGGTTCAACTACCTTATCATAATTGTGGCGTGCCAGATTGAGGATATTGTGTGGTCATTGTGGGAAGCTTATCGTTCAAGCCGCAACATTATCCTTCACCGAGAAGAACAAATGAGTTTCAAAAGAATAAGGGTACATTTTTGGCGTGAACGGTCATTTCCTCATCTTATGTTGGATAATGTTCACTTCCACCAGGATCTATCTTGAGTCACGTTATTTTCCTACTTAGAGGAAACCTTGCTTTTTATGTCTATAGAAAAAATAATTATTTTAGCGACGAAATTAATATTCTTTATAAATTATATTTCGACTATTCAAAGAATTGACTGCCCCAGCTGAGAATCAAACTCTCTCAGCTAACGCCCAGTTGTTCTAACGACTTGAGTTACCGACACAGTCAACTCTTCGAATAGCCTTAAGGAGACAACATTGAAGTGCCGGGAGGTCCTAGGTTCGAGTCCCGACGGTGGCAGGACTTTCTACACTAGCTACATAGCTTCGTTGAATTCAGTCGCTGTCTGGAGGAGAATTCTAGCGGCCGGCTTCTCTGAACTTAGAGCTTGTTCCGGCTGGGACGGTGCCTCGCTTGCGGGAGATACCTGGTGTAGGGAAACCCCGTTAGCCGACGGTAGGTGGGCATCGGATCTCACCATCCAGCGAGAAAATATCACCGCCTCCTCCCGCTATTAAAACATGCATTACACTTACGTGACTAATGACCTTAGCGGACGCTTTCAGAATCTATAATCAATCAATCTTAAGGAGACAATAGGTTCGTTGGAAATACATCACTTGAGCACAGTAAGAAGTTTAACGATTACATGGGAATAAGTTTCCTGTTTCGCATTTGTCAACTACTGTTCCAATACTTTAGCTACTAAGCGTGATGCAATTGTCAATTATTTGAACAGTCCAAACATATTTTTAGCAATTACATCGTGCTTAGTAGCTATGATGCTACAACAGTTGTTGACAATTTCGAAACGAGAAAAGCATCCCAAGTAATTTTTAAGTTTCCAACGTGACTGGGGGGGGGTGAAATTTTTATATTATTTATAAAATAGAAGTAGCAGACAGTGCTATTTCTCCCTAATGGCTCTCTGTTTAGCTATCATTCGTTTATCCTGTCGCATCAATGGCATCGAAAGGTAACTCCGTCTGGTCCTTAACAAACTACACGAATGAAGAATCTGCTCTAGCTTTAACTTCTCCTAGGATTATTATAATAGTATATAAAACCCTCATGTGGCGTGCCCATTTCCGTAGTTTGCAGAACAGATGTGTCTGCCCCTTACATCTCGTACATATGCTGAGTGGTATTTCATAGGAAGTCGACCGATTTGTCTTTAGCAATTATATAGAGCACTCATCCTCCCAGTTCTGGATGACGGTAATAAGGTACATGGATCCATTCCCTCCACCCGTGGATCTCATAACAGCATTCACCACACCTCTATCCATATTTCCACAGGTGCATATTGTTCTAGCCGAACTGCATTCTAGTTGACGCCAGTGAGCCATCTCTGAAAAGAAAATGGGAAATCCTGTTAAGAGTCTTGTGCTGCTGAAGTTTCGGTTGCCTCGGACCATCCTTCTCGCCGCATCCATTCTGGACGTTTCATACCTCATATGTTCAGCGAACATCTCTTCCCCAGTTCCCTCATATTCGATTTCAAAATCCATTGCGGATCTTGATGTCTGCCTTCGTACCCTTTTGAACCCCACAAGCGACACCATTCCTCCAAAATCCTTCGTCCCAAAATCGATTTCACACTTTCCAACCTTTTAAACAGACTACTTTACTCCCTTGTATACCACAACCATATTCACGAAATGATAGCAGCCTAATTATTATATTCGTACACACTGATGGATCATCTTGCAATGATCCAGAGGTATGTAGTTTTCCTTGTATTAGGGTCACCGGATTATTTTGAATTTATTTGAAGTGCATTGTATTCTCTACTATACGTAAACCTCAAAAACCTTAAATACATCAATTGCGAGTAATAGCGACGAGTAGTTCTCTGTTCTGATTCTCTCAGCTCTCTTCATCCCATCTCCCAACTTCGTAAGCCTCTTTAACGCCAGCGATATCATCGTCGTTTATTGTCTTGCCCCTGTGATCTCGTGCTTTGTGAGGGTCCTGCGCCAATCGGGAATCACAGGAAATGAGTCAGCCAACCGGGCTGCAAAATGAGCGACGTGTAAGTCTGATATGGATATCCCCCTCATCAGATTTGAAGACATTTCTAAAATCCTCCATATTCAGTGCCGGGCAAAATGTGACACACTACCACTTTTTACATTAAAGATTTTGCATCGGCCCAGTGTTCTTCGGCCTGTTAATCTAGGTGTGAGGAAGTAATTTGAACGCGTCTTTTTCGCGGACACTGTCATTTTCTCAGGGTTTCCTCCAGCAAGGCGAATCCCCCTCCACCATCTGTGACACGTAACATGGACCACTCCGAGGAACATGTTCGCCTTCTCCGTGTGAACTTTGCTGGCAGCAGGCGTAGATATTTTCCTGACCTCTACGGAATTCTCGGCAACGACCAAATCCGTGCTCTCAATTTTTTTTGCCCGTCTGCATCATTTCATTTGAGATAAAAGAACAATAATGTTTTTCTGTATGCTACTTGGTCTATATACAGCGAGCTTTCAAGTCTTGTGTTATAAAATAATTTTATTTTTCATTATTCGTACACTTTTGTTTAGTACATCGTATGAGACCTTTCGGTCTTCATTTTATGTTTTATATGCATTTTAATACGCGGATTCATCCAACGTTTACCACTGAGTCCATTGTATTTTGTGGTGAGGTTGATACACCGGTTTTCTGTGTGAAATTCCAGTTTCCAGTTTCACACACACACAACAGGTCTATCCACCTCACCATAAAATACAATAGACTCATTAGTAAATGTTGGAGGAATGCAACATATTCGTAAGACATTTTAACCAGGTTGATTGATAAGGGAACAGATATATAAATTACCTGAAGAAGAATGTAAAAACATGAGATTCGAAACGTTGTAACAAGAAAATTGAAGAATAAATTGGCTGTAAATAATTGGTTTAAAAAGGTTAATTATTAACTACAGACATAAACCAATTTGGAAACAACGTGACGCGACGTGACGCGACGTAAGTCAATATTGCTTTCAAGGTGATTCTACATGGAAAAATACCACGGACGCTCCATCGTCTACCCTGGGACCGTTTGGGGCATTCCGAATTACCCGCCCGGGCAAGAGGCTTCGGCTGTGGCCATCGCCCGGAGGGATAAAGCGTTCGACAGAAACCCGCCGGCCATTGATTTTGTTCAGGACACGGATTCCTGGGAGTACATACACCGAAGGTCTCTCCCCGTAGTCTTGCTAAGGACACAGCCCTCTAGAGCAGAGCTTCCTAATGGAAGGATCGAACCAAACTGTCTGGAAGCACCCGCTCTAGTGGATCACGTGCTGCCGCCCCCCCCCCTTACTTACAAAT